AACTTTCTGTTAGTGCCATTAGTTTTCAAATTTGAATAGTTAAAACTTGAATTCTTTGAAATTTGTGTGAATCACAAGTTTGTGATTAACTTTACTAAAAAAATGAACATAGATGCACCTATAGAGAAAATTCGACCTAAATTCATAGTTTTCAAATGAACTCTGAAAAAGTTGGCATAGCATACTCGTGTGTTACAAAGTTGGCATGGTATCATCATAATAGTTGTGGGAGAAAGTCTTCACTTTTTCTTCGCTCGTGTCATTTGCTTATTGCGCCGTAACCATGGATAATCTTCATCGTTTATCAGGATGCTTGGGTCAGCCTTGACATTGAAGGGAGGAATTTCATGAAACTTTTTATAATCTTCAGACATGTCTGTCTTGCCCTCCACTCCCAGGATATCCTTTTTTCCTGAAAGAACTATGTGGCGCTTTGACTCATCGTATGATGTATTCGCTTCCTTATCTTTTTCTTTTTCTCGGTTTGGTAGACATGTCCTTCACATAGATAACCTGTGCCACATCATTGGCTAGGACGAACGGTTCGTCAGTGTACCCAAGATTTTTCAGATCCACTGTTGTCATTCCGTACTGTGGGTCTACCTGTACCCCGCCGCCTGACAGATTGACCCATTTGCACTTAAACAAAGGGACCTTAAAATCATGTCCATAGTCAAGTTCCCATATGTCCACTATGTAACCATAATATGTGTCCTTTCCGCTCTCGGTTGCTGCATCAAAGCGGACACCGCTGTTTTGGTTGGTGCTCTTTTAATCTTGGGCGATCGTGTAAAATGTATTCCCATTTATCTCGTATCCTTTGTAAGTCAATACAGTCAAAGATGGTCCCCTGGACAACAAGTACATCTCATCACAAACAGTGTTGTCACCTCTGAGACGTGTTTCCAACCAACTGCTGAAAGTCCTGATGTGTTTACATGTAATCCAGTCGTCGCACTGCTCCGGGTGTTTGGAGCGCAGACTGTTCTTGTGTTCATCGACATATGGTGTCACCAAGGTAGAGTTTGTAGAACTGTGTAGTGTGCTTGAGACCAAGAATATCCGTCCCTGCATATTATTGAGTCACTCCCAAGAGTGCCTTTTCCAGTCAGTCTTCCCTCATACCGTGATTTAGGGAGACCTATCTTCTTAAGGCCAGGAATGAAGTCAACACAAAACCCGATAACATCCTCTGTTTGATGGCCCATGGAGATGCTTCCTTCTGGCCTAGCGCGGTTACAGACATATTTTTTTAGGACTCCCATGAACCTCTCAAAGGAGAACATATTGTGTAGAAATACGGGCCCCAGGATGACAATCTCGTCGACTAGATGAACTAGGACGTGCGTCATGATATTGAAGAAGGATGGTGGGAACACCAGCTCGAAACTGACAAAACATTGCGCCACATCACTCCTTAGCCTTGGTATGATTTCTGGATCGATCACCTTCTGAGAGATTGCATTGAGAAATGCACATAGCTTCACAATGGCTAATCAGACGTTTTCCGGTAGAAGCCCCCTCAATGCAACCGGAAGCAGTTGCGTCATAATCACGTGGCAGTCATGAGACTTTAGGTTCTGAAACTTTTTCTCTAGCATATTTATTATTCCCTTTATATTCGACGAGAAGCCAGTCGTGACCTTCATACTGAGCAGGCATTCAAAGAAGATTTCTTTCTCTTCTTTCGTAAGAGCGTAGCTGGCAGGACCTTTATACTGCTTCGGAGGCATGCCGTATTTTTTGTGCAAACATTGCAGGTTCTCCAGTGCCTCAGGTGTATCTTTTGTCTTCCCATACACGCCCAAGAAGCCTAGTAGGTTCACGCAAAGGTTCTTCGTCATGTGCATCACGTCGATTGAAGAGCGGACCTCTAGGTCTTTCCAGTAGGGTAGGTCCCAAAATATAGATTTCTTCTTCCACATGGGTGCGTGTCCCTCAACGTCATTCGGAACAGCTAGTCCGTCGGGACCCTTTCCAAAGGTTACGTGTAAATCATTGACCATAGCAAGTACGTGATCACCGGTACGCATGGCGGGCTTCTTCCGGTGATCTGCCTCGCCTTTGAAATGCTTGCCTTTCTTTCGACATTGATGGTTGGTCGGAAGAAATCGACGATGGCCCAGGTACACATTCTTCCTACATTTGTCCAGGTATATACTTTCAGTGTCATCTAAACAGTGCGTGCATGCGTGGTATCCTTTGTTTGTCTATCCTAAAAGGTTACTGAGAGCGGGCCAACCATTGATGGTCACGAACAACAACGCCTTTAGGTTAAATTCCTCCTGTCTGTGCTCATCCCACGTACGTACACCGTTTCCATTCCACAACTGTAAAATTTCTTCAACTAATGGCCTTATATACACATCAATATCGTTGCCGGGTTGCTTAGGGCCTTGGATGAGAACTGGCATCATAATGAACTTCTGCTTCATGCACATCCAAGGAGGAAGGTTATACATACATAGAGTCACGGGCCAGGTGTTGTGATTGCTGCTCTGCTCCCCGAAAGTATTAATGCCATCCGCGCTTAAAGCAAAGCATACATTCCTTGGGTCCTTTGCAAACTCATCCCAATACTTTCTCTCAATTTTTCTCCACTGCGACCCGTCAGCGGGTGCTCTCAACTTCCCGTCTTTCTTCCGGTCCTCACTGTGCCATCGCATCAACTTGGCGTGCTCTTCGTTTGTGAACAGACGTTTCAACCGTGGTATTATAGGAGCATACCACATCACCTTCGCAGGAACCCTCTTCTTGGGGGGCTCGCCGTCAACATCACCAGGGTCATCTCGCCTGATCTTATACCGCAATGCACCGCATACCGGGCATGCGTTCAGATCCTTGTATGCACCGCAGTAGAGGATGCAGTCATTAGGGCATGCATGTATCTTCTCCACCTCCAATCCTAGAGGGCATACGACCTTTTTTGCTGCGTATGTATTGTTGGGCAATTCGTTATCCTTTGGAAGCTTCTTCTTCAATATTTTCAGTAGCTTCTCAAATCCTTTGTCAGCCACAACATTCTCTGCCTTCCACTTCAGCAATTCCAGTACGATACCGAGCTTTGTGTTGCCATCTTCGCAATTGGGGTACAACCCTTTTTGTGATCCTCTAACATGCGATCGAACTTCACCTTCTCCTTTTGACTTTCGCATTGCGTCCTTGCATCGACAATGACCCGGCGGAGATCATCATTATCGGGCACATCGCTGGTTCCTCTTGATCTTCAGCAGCTTCACCCGTTGCAGCATCATTGGGCACATCGTCTGGTTCCTCTTGATCTTCACCAGCTCCCCCCGTTGCAGCATCACCGTATTCAGGGGGCACATAGCTGTCATCGTACTCTTCTTCTTCGTCGTCTTCCATCATAACCCCTATTTCTCCGTGCCTCGTCCAAACATTATAGTGTGGCATGAAACCCTTGTAAAGCAGGTGGGAGTGAAGGATTTTCTGGTTAGAGTAAGACCTCGTATTCTCACATTCAGTGCATGGACAACACATAAAACCATTCTACTTGTTTGCCTCAGCCGCATCAAGAAACTCATGCACGCCCTTAATGTACTCGGAGGTGTGTCTGTCACCGTACATCCATTGCCGGTTCATCTGCGTGCATTATATATAATTAAGTGTCCAAATTAATAGAAGTTTATCATCACATTAAAACCAAAGTACATACATAGTTCTTATCTAACAACATATAGCTCTCCAGAGCATCTAATTAATTAAACCATACATTGAAACTATGTAAAACATTTCAATGCAAAAACAAATGCGATCATAATCGCAACCAAGGTAACAATTGATCCAACAGCATAATGATACCAAGCCTCGGTATGAATGGCACATTTTCTAATCTTTCTAATCTTCAAGCGCATTGCATCCATCTTGATCTTGTGATCATCGATGACATCCGCAACATGCAACTCCAATATCATCTTCTCCTCTTCAATTTCTTTTATTTTTTCCTTCAACAAATTGTTTTCTTCTTCAACTAAATTTAACCTCCCAACAATAGGGTCGGTTGGAATTTCCGATTCACATACATCCTACATAAATAAAATCTATGTCATGTTGGTCGGCATAATTTTCATAAACAATAAATGAATCAATAGTTATAAAGATAATATATATACCACATCCGAATCATAGACAGGATGAGGGCCGACGGGGGCGGATACCAAAACCATCGCACTATATAAGATGCAATAATAAAAGTAAGAAAATAATACAAGTATCTATGTAAACATACAAGTAAGAATATTTTTCCTTTCAGAAAGAAGATAAGAACAAGAGGCTCACCACGATGGTGCCGGAGATGAGCTCGGCGCGGGTGATCGACGGCGGTGAAGACGGGGACGGGGCGTGACGGACCGCTAAACCTAGACAAATATTGAGGAAAATGGAGCTTGGAGGTCGAGCTTGGAGAGGAGAAAGCTTAAGTAGTGTGGCTCGGGCATTCCATCGAACACCTTATATGCATAGGAGGTGAGCTAGAGCACCACCAAGCCCTCTCCCCCTCGGCCAGAAAAAAACAGAGCAGTGTGCTCTGCTCTTACGCGAGGGGGTATATATAGGCACCTCATTGGTCCCGGTTGGTGGCATGAACCGGGACTAAAGGGGAGCCTTTGGTCCCGGTTCAAGTCACCAACCGGGACCAATGGTGGTGGGCCAGGCGCGAGGCCCACTGGTCCCGGTTCGTCCCACCAACCGGGACCAAAAGGTCCAGATGAACCGGGACCAATGGCCAACGTGGCCCGGCCGGCCCCCTGGGCTCACGAACCGGGTCCAATGCCCCCATTGGTCCCGATTCTGGACTAAACCGGGACTAATGGACTGACCCGGCCTGGACCGTTGCCCCCTTTTCTACTAGTGGAGCAAAGTGACATATAACTTTTATAAGCTACACCCTTAGAAAAGAAGTATCGGATCAGCTTTGCAAATTCAATCTTTCTCTTGGAATTGTAATATTCTGGCATGAAATTGAACCTATTTTTTTTCAGCCCAACAAGGGTACTTGTATTCTTGGACCTTTAGACATGGCGTTACACAAATCTAATGTGTCTTGTGCGAAGCTATTGATTCAGGTATTGTATCCTCTTTTTGTACTGCAGTAGGAATGTAGATTTCTATAAACTGATGTTCCATTTAGTCATTTTTGTATTCACAACTAAAAAAATGATTGGCTTTTCATTCTTGCATCTGATAGGGTGGAGCTAATGTGAGCGGTGCTGGCCCTTGTTATAATCCCTTGATAACGGCTGCAGAGAAGGGCTTAACTGAAGCTATCAAGTGCTTGTTGGAAGCTGGTGCAAATCCAAATGTTCTTGACCAGGTCAGAATGCTCATTTTGTCACATATTCTTGTGTCTTGCCTGGCTTTGTAGTGATATGCAACAACTATACGAGTTATGCGAGTACACCTACATGATGCTATATGTAATATAAAAATAAAAGGCTGTGCTAAGTTAGCTTTCTTACATAAGCGTGCTACTATTTCGACTTGTCTTATACTGATATGCAACGACCGTAACTGTAGGAGTTATGATGCAAGTAGACCTACTTGATGCTATCTGCAATATAAAAATAAAAGGCTGTGCTAAGTGAACTTTTCTGAAAAAGCTTGTTACAGTTTCACCACTTCTCCTTTATGCCATCTCTTTGTAAGTTTGTGTCATGAACATTTGCTTATTTCTTAATGTTGAATATTAATTTTTGTAAAGCTTCCGTTGTTCCTCAACAGTTTGGTAGATTGCCAATAGAATTGGCTGCTGAGTATGGTACACGGGAAGACGTTGAGATGCTCTTTCCTTCCACCTTGCCAATTTCAACTGTGACAAATTGGAGCGTTGACGGTATCGTTAGTCATGTGAAGATGGAAATCAAGCAGCTTGAGGTATATCACGCTAGCAAATTTTCTTTGCACTCACAACAATTTTGTCCCATGTTAACTCTCTACGCAATGTTGGCATCGATGTTTAGCTAAAACTTCATAGATCAAGAACTAGTCAATGCGCCGGTGTTTTTTATGTGCCTGCTTTGCGGTCTAAGATCCGTTCCTGAAAACTCATCTGATGTGAATGATGCTTTATTGGATAACTTATTTTGCTTGCATGTTAATTCATTAACAGGTGTACCAATTAATTTTCTTAGAAAGCTCTCTTACTTCAGTAACTGTCTGTAGAAAGTGACAACTGGGATTTTCAAATCTCCCATTGATGAAAACTGTCCCTTGTCTTTTTTCCTTGAGGTTGAAACTGTTAACCTGTATATTATACACGTTATATCGGTACCTGTAATCATTTGTAATCCCAGTCTCTAAGCTAGTCCTATTCCTTAGGATCCACTACCGGGTCATGCTACCTGCCTTCTTCCATGGTAGTTAGTTAGACCAGCTCTATATATGTAATGGGACATGTAGTGTAAACATTACACACTGAATATACAAGTTAGCGGCAACTGTTTCTTGAGTTCATTCACTTAACCTTGACATCATTTCTAGAGCACTGTTTCTCCCTGACACACATTAGACCTCTTAATATGTACGTATACCTGACCAAGTTATTATGTTTGCCCAGGATGACAATTTTGTCCAAACGAGGGCTTCTGACCTGAAACAACAAGGGGATGAAGCATTTAAGAAGCAGGATTATCTGAATGCATCAGTGTTCTACACACAGGTATATTCCCGGGCCTTTTATTCCTGTGTAAACTGTAGGTACAGGCGTACAGCCATGAAACATGTTCCTCCATTAGAATTTAAGTTTATTTATAATTAGTATCACTTGACCTTGGCAATGTCTAAAAATTAACCAGTTACCTCGATCGTAATGCTCACATGAACCTGTTAAAGACTAGTCACTAGTGAGAGCATCTCGTTGCATGTATGGAGTGTTAACTTAACAGTGTAGACTAGAGAGTTTTCATGCCTAGAGCTAGTGGTAGCCAAAAATTGTGATAATTAAGTTTAAATAAATAAATAAGAATAGTGACACATTAATCTCCGCTGTTCGTTTTGCTGTGAGGAATTTCAGGTGCGAGTTGATCTTTTATCACAGTTTAACTCCTCGGTCCTTGTACCTGTAGACCAAATGACAAATTATTGGTCTAAACCGAGCAGCATGGAATGTGGCAACACCAACAATTTTTCACTGTTTTGTGTGCTGCAGGCTCTGAAGATGGATAACTTCGACGCGAAGTTGTTATCAAACAGGAGTCTTTGCTGGCTTCGCATGGGTAATGGGGAAAGGGCTTTTGGTGATGCACATGAATGCATAGCGCTTTGCCCGAAATGGGCAAAGGCACACTATCGGCTAGGCGCAGCTTTTATGTTTATGGAGGTGCAGTAGAACAGCTCAGGCTGAAAATTACGTTGCTCCTTTCATATCTGTTGTTTGATTCCAAAAAATGCGCTTGCCTTTCCTTAGGATTACAACGGTGCCTATCAGTCTCTCTCTCGCGCATTAGAGCTGGACCCTGAAAGTAAGGAGGTCGAGAAATTATTCTGGTGAGAGATACTTCTGCCTTCTTGTGTTTTGTCGATTGCTATGGTAGAATTCAGTTCTTTTCATTATTCTGATCAGCTGATAAGAGATAAAATCCGTCTCGTTGTATTTTCTTGAGTGTTATTTGTCAGCAGTTACATGCTTTGGGTGTTTGCCATCTTCGGTAGAATCGAGTTCTTCATTTCCATGTTCTGATCAACTGATCCTTGCAGGGAGGCAATGGAACTAATGAGTTAGCTGCTCCACGCCCACAACAGAGAGAAGCTCACGCGGAATGGGGAGATCTTTACCTGTTCTCTCGGACAAAAACCGCTTAACTTTGAATTATGGTGGCCTTTTTTCATGTAATTCTTTGACCGCAGCAGCAGCTTAACCTTAGAGCAGAACACATTACTGGCTACTTATTATGAGTTTTGTGAAATTTGCATCATGTTTGTACATGGTAGAAGTGTGGCAGTGGATGATGAATTGAATTGGCTAAGTTAGAGCGAAGTGTTTGGTTGAAGATTGTGGTATTGCATTTGCCAGTTCCCATATTTTGCACTGTCCAATCTCTGTACCCTACTGAGCATGTAAACCCTAGTATTTTTTTGATTTGTATTTGCCCGTTCCCATGATCTGTTTTTTTTTAAAGATCCAGCTCAGCTGGCTTCATTTGATTTAGCAGAAGAGTGATAGAAATACAAAGTTTGATCAGAGCTATCATAGCAACAAAACAAAATAAGGTGAAAAAAGAATGTTCATGGGGGGTGGCTTTCCATTCCCCCAAAAAACTCTCTGACTCTAGGTTTTATCTCGTGCCTAGATCCCGGAACGGGGGCTCGATGGCCTTGGCTCCAGCAAGGTGCCTAGATCCCCGAACGGGGGTGATTTTCCCTGATCGCCCTGATGATATTCGACGGATCCACTTCCTTGTCTCTAAAAACACAATTGTTTCTCGCGTTCCAGAGCTCCCAGGTTGTTGCCATGATCATGATTCTTTATTCCTTTCCTCCCCTCTTTGTTCGTGTGAGAGATGATTTGGCAGGTCGTCGATGTTGTGGACGTCTGTTCTCTTTGTTGGGGGGCCAGTGAAGCGCAACCCCTCCACTTTGCAACCTCTGTCCATACTGCCTTCGATAGATGACAGTTCCAGAATAGATGGACTCATGGACGGATGTTTCTAAGTTTCTTCTGCAGAAGTGGCAGAAGTAGGAGTTTGGCCATCCATTATCTGTTGATGATACTAATTCTTCCAATCTCTCAAACTTGGCATTGTAGTACTGTTTTCCTGTTGAAATGCTTGCTGATCTCTAACTAAACCATTTCATTTGCTTCCTTTTGATAATTTCGGAAAATCGAAGTCGGCGGCTGCCTTTAGTGTTCCTAAGGTGTAGAAAATCACATCAGTCCTGGTGAAGATTCTGCTGATGAGCCTGGCCCTGCTCGACCGTAGCTCCCAACTGGATGTATATCCTACTTCACGGTTTAATCACGGTCGTTTTGAAACCTGGATACTAGGTTCATGTACTTTGAAACTTGTACTACGTTGGCGGGTAATCTGTTTAAAAAATGAATGCCGAGGTTCTGACACATAATTTGTGATAAAAAATTGAAATGAATTAGTGTTTTGAGATCTGATTTTGTCCGTACAATTTGTGGCTTTTAAAATCTTGGAACATTTTAATTCTTGTTGATGATGTATATGCATGTAAAGGCGGCATGTGAATTTGGAGAAATCATGTGTTCCCAAAATCGGAAGGCGGCTTCTAGGCGCCGGTAAACATCTTTGTACACTGGTTCTAGCGTCCCCGCACCATGGTTCCAGCAAACGAAATAGCCGGTCACAACAAAGAACGTCCCGCTCGTCGCCGCTTGTAGCACCTGGCTCCGCTGGTGGCCGCGCCGATGGATGCCGGTTCCATCATATACCTACAAGGGTTCCAGCTTCTACGCTTGGTGGGTGTAGCGCGGCCGCCCCCGCCCTCCGTTCCCAGTTGCCGTTTGGTCTCTCATCACCGGAGCTCGCCGGGTTGAACCCATTACGCGACGCGTGAGAGGGAGGTGGAGGAAGAGAGGAGTTACTGCTAGTTGTGAGGTAGAAGATGAGGAGTGAAAGCTGCGGCGAAGTAAATGAATGGCTGTGAAACCGACGCTTGAATAGATAAAACCCTATCTAGTGCTTCATCGTGGACAGGTGCTAAGCATGTCACATAAGCGAGAAAATGACATGGCATCGCAATTAAAAGAGAAGAGAGAGCAGCACTTTGGTAACCCCAGGAAGAACCAATGCCGAGCGCGTGAACCTAGGCAAACCACTTAAATGAAAGATACTGACCAATGCATGAAAGAGTGTAGGTGCTAATCATTAAGGCTGCTGCCAATGCATGGATGCTTAGATGAGGTGCTAAGCACATTAAATAGCTTAGCAACTATACTCTCCAATGCATAGGTGCTTAGCTTATGATTGCTAAGCTTCATTTAATAATTTAGCAACTAAAGCTCTTCATGTATTGGTGGGCTTCCTTCCTTTAAATGTTTTGCCTAGGTTCACGCGCTTAGCATTAGTTCTTCCTGGGGTCACCACACTCATCTCTCTCCTCTTAAATAACTTGCCACATCAGATTTTTTGCCTATGTGGAAGGCTTAGCACCTGTACAAGGTGGAGCATTGGGAGGGGTAAATAAAGTAAGCTTAGCAACAGTAAGTTAAACACCTATGCATTGAGGGGTTGAGTTGCTAAGCTATTTAATGCACTTAGCACCTCATGTAAGCATCTTTGCATTAGAAGAGTTCTAAGGATAAAAGGAGGCGCGGAGTGTGGGTAGGCCTAGCTGCACATGTGGATGTGTACACGCGAGGTACGCGTTCCGCCGGACGGCCGATTCTAAATGTTTCCCAAATTGAAAGCACGCCCAAACTGGATCACCGAAAAATAAAAATGTACACAAACACAATTCCCCTGTGTGATTTATTTTAAAAGACCCGGTGTATATTCAGACCCATTCATCAAATTTTTTCCTTAGAGCTGCAAACCAAAAATTCTGCTGCCGCGTGGGACCCACTCATCAGTGAGTGAACCTTTTTATTTATTTCTTTCCTTTTGTTTTCTTCCCTTTCTCCTCGTCCGTTCACTTCCTCACTTCCCTAAAAAAAACCTCTTCCTCACCATCTGGCAGAGCGCCGCCGCCGCCCCTCCCCTTCCCGGCCACCGCCGTCGTCCCGGCGCCCCACCTCTAGCTCAAGTACCGCCGCGTCCCGGTCGCCCCTCCCATCCTCTCTATTCCCGGCTGGCGCTCGATTCCAGGTCTGGCCCTCGATTTTTCCCCGTACCCGAAATCCCCAACCAGACCAAACCCTCCGTCGTCTCCCTCGCCAGCCATGGAGGCGGCGGCGGCCGCCGCATCGGCTGCAGCGGCGGCTGCCAAGGACGCGGCCTTGGCCGCTTCGGTTGCAGCGGCGGCTGCTGCCAAGGACGCGGCGGCGGCGGCGGTGACTGCAAAGGAGGCGACGGATGCCGCCAAGGACGCGGCTGCGGCGGCTTCGGCTGCGGCTTTAAACGCCAAGGAGGCAGCTGCGGCGGCCTCTGCTGCGGCTTTAAACGCCAAGGAGGCAGCCGTGAAGGCCTCTGCTGCGGCCTTGGATGCCGAGGAGGCAGCTGCTGTGGCGGTGACTGCAGGCCAGGCGGCGACCGCTGCGGCGGCAGCTATGCAAGCTTCCCAGAAGCGTAGGTTTGCGGATGCGGCGTTGGATGCCAAGGAGGCAGCGCCTGCAGGGCAGACAACGGGCCGATAAATGCCGAGGTCGCAGCACCTGTGGTGGAGACTGCAGGTCAGGCAGCGACCGCTGCCGCGGCAGCTATGCAAATGCAAGCTTCCCAGAAGCGTAGGTTTGCGGATGCGGTGTTGGATGCCGAGGAGGCAGCGCCCGTGGCGGTGACTGCTGGGCAGGCAGCAGGGCCAATAAATGCCGAGGAGGCAGCGCCTTTGGCGGTGAATGCAGGGCGGCCGGCGGCCGCTTCGGCGGTGGCGACGCAAGCTTCCAAGAAGCGTAAGTCTGCTGCTGTGGCGTTAAATTACAAGGTGCCAGCGCCTGCGACGGTGACTGCAGTTGAGGCGACGCCGGTGCCATTGCAAGCATCCAACAAATGTAAGTTCCCGATCATTGACGTGGACCAAGATCCACCAGGGAGCAGAGACGTCGATGATGCGGGGAGTGTCGATCACATCGGCCGCCTCCCGGATGCCGTTCTTTGCAGTATCGTCTCTCTTCTCCCCACCAAGGAAGGTGCCCGCACGCAAGTCATCTCTCGCCGATGGCGTCCGCTATGGCACTCCGCTCCTCTCAACCTCGTGGTGGACCAAGAACTCAACAGCAACAACCACAATTTGGGCGACTTGATTTCAAAGATCCTCTCTGTGCATCCTGGCCCCGCACGCCGCTTCTCGCTCTGCCTCTCTAGTAGCAAGTATCATGGCAAGATCAAAGGCTGGCTTAGTTCCCAAGCCCTGGACAAGCTACAGGAGTTTGAGCTCATCCCCAAACACTGGTTTGACGTCAGGGATACGTTCTACCTACTGCCATTGTCCGTCTACCGCTTAGCGCCCACGCTCCGTGTGGCCAAGTTTGGCGGCTGCCGTTTCTCCGACTGGATTGTGAAGCTGTCGCTCAAGTTTCCGTGCCTCAAGCAGCTCACCCTGGATAGAGTCGCCATCTCGGAGGACGCTCTCCAGAGCATGCTCTCTGACTGCTATGCCTTGGAGAGCCTTGAGCTAAAGAAAAATTCTGTCTTTCGTCGCCTCTGCATCAGCTCCCAAACTCTTAAGAGTGTAGGCTTTTGCACTAACTGGTTTAAAGAAAGTGTCCCTTTGCAAGAGTTGGTCATCGAGGATGCCCCGTGCCTTGAGAGATTGCTACCACTTGTTCCACAGGTTGGCCCAAGGACCATACGGGTAATCTCGGCACCTAAACTGAACATATTGGGTGCACTCTCTACAGGCATAACAGAACTTCAGCTTGGAACCACAGTTTTCCGGGTAGCAGCAGTCTTCATCCATTGCTCATTCAGCATTCCTATATGCAGGCTGTTGTTCTTATGAATGCACTTGTTTTTTTATGTCTTTGCAGAATATGATTGCTATTGACTTGACAACCAAAATGCACAGCGTGAGGGTGTTGGTTCTTGACTACACTAATCTGGATATAGTGGTTAACTTCCTCAAGTGCTTCCCCTGCTTGGAGAGGCTGCATGTCTTTGTGAGTACATTAACATAGCTGCTTGCTTTAGATGTCAAAATCAGAATTTGAGTTGCTGTGTTATCTAGCCAGTTATCGTATTGCTAACCTGTTGGTAACTTCTTTTGTATTATTTGTTCTCTCCATTTCCAGTTCCAGTCAAGGATGAGTTGTATTAACCCCCAGGAGTATGACCCACCGGAACCGATTGAATGCCTTGAGCTGCATCTCAAAGAAGTACTGTTGAAGAATTATAATGGCACCATCCCTTTGTGTATTGACTTTGCCAAGTTCTTTGTTTTGAATGCGAAAGTGCTAAAGAAAATGAAAATCACATTGCCTTACCACCGGCAGTATAACTGGTTTGCTAATCAACACCTGCTGCTGCGGACCAAAGATAGAATTTCTCAAGATGCTCGGATTGAACTGAGATGCGGCAATAATGTTTATTTCAGAGACAACAGGAACACCCATGATTTGTCAATGGCTGATCCTTTTGACGTGCCCTCCAGCGGATGTAAAAAGTGTAGTGGATCCCCATTTTGAAGATTGCCTTGCCTAGTGTTCAAAGCCCAACTTTATGTCGCTGGTTTTGTTTCTAGCCTGACGCTCAAAGAAAGGATCTACTTCACTCAGTGATGGAATGTTTTGTGGCCTAGTCAGAATTATACCTGGTGGTGGAGGAGGTGGTGTCTAAGCTCAGGCTTCAAATCCGAACTTGCCGCTTGAAGGGGTTCGTCAGTAGTTTATTTTATATGTGCTATTGCGCTGGTTTAGATCTGTAATGCTTAGTTGGTTGTGGTAATCTGTTTTGTTGCTTGGTCCTGTAATTTAAGCTGCTGATGGAAGCAGCTAGTACTATATTTATCTACTGTATCCTATAACTTGCTTTAGTGAAAAAAGATGATGACCTTCATGCCTTCTGTCTCAAATTTATCCCTTTGCAATTCATGTCAGAATGTTTGCAACCTTGTCTCTGCTAGTTTCAGTGAATAGTGCATCTTTGGTTTGTAGAAGTGTTCATTTATCGTTCCAGCTTTCAGGTGATAATTTGATGTCATGAAACCATGTAGTGGTCTAGCTTACTTGATTTTTCCTTCTCTGCATATACGCAATAATATTACTCCTACTTACTAATTTGTGCGGCAGCATCTATACTCATCAGATTGGTGTTTAGGCCGCCTATTAGTTACTGTAATATATATATTTCAGCAATATGGATATTTTTCTATGATCATATCTCTATCTCTGTATGGTACAGGGGTATACGGTATTACCCTTAGTTGGCACTTGCCCGTAGTGACCATGCATAGGCAACAAGAAGCTATTTCATGTTAATAATTAGTAATGGTAGCTACTGGTTTTTGCCAGCTTGGTAATTCCTCGAGAAATGTTTGGCCTGTTACACAGTTTTTGTGTGTTTATAATCCTTTTCCATTTGGTAACTTCATTGTCATGGTTATTATTACCAGCCTGCATACATACATATATCCTCTGTTTTTTTTGGAGTGATCTGGGTGTTGATTTCATTTAATGAACACATGCCACTTTTGAAGTCATACAAGCTTGAAAGCACACAGGTTGAACCTGACGCCTGCCCCGTTCCGTTAGCTTGCTTGGATTTTTTTGAGTTGGCTCTGCATCGAATTATCCATTTTCGTCTTCATTCCTATCTATACTGCAGCAGCAGTACATATATGCTCTGTGGGAATGTATTTAATTTGAGCATCCTATGCTGAAGCAAAGCACATTTTGTGATTTTCTTCTAGTATTAACCAGCAATACCTGCTTAATGTTCCATGGCAGGGTCGAGGCATTGAGCAGTGCGAATTCAGAGGTGCAGTGGCCTTGACATAGGGGATCAGCTTTGGCAGGTGAGAGGCAAGGAGCCTGGTCATATGATACTGTGATGTACACGAAAGCGCGGCACTGCCAGCTTCAGCTATATATTTTGGATATTTATCTTATTATTAAGCTATGGACTGCTGTCATGTGCATCAGCAGGAAGCTGTGAGATCATCATGTGAAAGACACGAAGGAAGCTGTGATGTTTGACGAGGACACTAGGTTTCTGGACGAAGATGATTAAGCAACTCTAGCTGGCCGTGATGGCGCAACATCGAAATGCTTAATTAGTAGCTAGGTCTACCTGTCGCACAGCTGATGAATTGTTTGGCAGACCAATCTGGTTCAACAGGTGAATGTGTTGAGATCTGAAATGCAGTTGACAGTGAGATAAGAGTTGATATCTGTGCCGATTAATTAAGGGAACCAGAATTGGATGCCCGGTAGTATGATTTTCATTCCGATGATTTAAATTCTCACAGTATGGGATGCAGGTTACTTGAGATGTAGAATTCTACAGTAACATGTAGAGGCCTGGGTATGTACTCCCTCCGTTTCTTTTTACTCTGCATATAAGATTTGGTCAAAGTCAAACTTTATAAAGTTTGACCAACTTTGTTGGAAAAAATATGAACATCTACAACACTAAAGCTATATGGTATGAAAATTAATTTCATGATGCATCTAACAATATTGATTTCATATTGTGAATCTTGATAATTTTTTCTATAAACTTAGTTAAAGTTGATAAAGTTTGACTTTGACCAAATCTTATATGCAGACTAAAAAGAAAAGGAGGGGGTATGTACTGAGGACACATCCCAGAAATATGGGAGTCTGAAGATGGAAACTGGGACCTGAAATTGAAATGCAAGCATTATGTTTTCTTACATACAGTACATAGGATCCAGGTTAACCTGGGAGTTGCTGTTTCTTTTACTGAAAATCCAGGGCTGCTGCGCACTAGAATAGATGCATATCGCTCACTACGTACGTCCAACTTGGATCATCCAGGTTAACCTGTTGCTGTTTGTAACAACAACAAAAAAAACATCCCTTGAGATGATCTTCCTGGAGCTTGGATAGAAACTGATGATCGGGGCATCAAGAGAGGCTCCGGGCACGATTGCCATGCTGGAGCAAGCAAAGCAAACATCCAACGCCGCAGCACAACTACCGACATACCAAACTTACACAGGACCAGAAAGTTGCAGGCATTTACTACATCGAAGAAGAAAAGGCGATGTCGTTGGGCGCCGGCAACAAATGTCGAGGAAGCAGGCTGGGATCCACGGGGAGGGGCTTTGGCTCTCCAAGCACGCCGTGGTAATGGTCATTCACAAATCACAAAAGGCCTCTTAAGAAAGCATTATGTTTTTATGTTGAGGAAGCCCCAAAACTAAAGATGCAAACTATCATATTGGAAGAACAACCTATTGAAACATTTTGAATTGAGATACATTTGATGTAAATAATGGTTTTAAATAAAAATTGGTCAATTCTCAGAAGTTATGGTAAATTAAATCTGGCATGAAAAAATCACAGCCGAAGTGGACTCAAATGCTAAACTGTTTCTTATAAAAAAATACACTTGGAGAGACATAACCTCAGATCCTAGGGTACAATGAATCAAAAGCTTGCTAACACAAAATCCAAGCCACAAGAGATGCATCAGCTAAATTATCAGTGAAAGCAAAATGTACCGCTTGTTGCTGTGAGGGCGCTGATAGGACAATATTAATCAAATCGGAAGCAAAATCGCTAAATCAGCCACTTCATGATACCTGAATTTGATAGATGAAGATGGGGACCAAATACCTAACCAGAATTTCACCTCCATGGAGGCATGGACAATGGAAGTAGTCCTTGCTACTTCAGGTTAATTTATTGGAGGACCTCTCGAATATCCATAGCTTGTTGGTATCCATGTCCTTGATGCACCAAGGTAATCATATCCTCGGTGTTTCCCTGCAAGCAATATCTCAATTAGCGACTACATGTTCAAATGAAAGAAACACCCTTGTCGATTAAGGGCACCTTCATAAATCAAAATACATGCGTAAAATTCAATCAGATATATTTTTGGCATGCTTCAGCTTCTGAGCACAATTCCTGGCATGATAATTGGGACTAAAAATACAACTTGGCATGAAAAGTTTTTTTAACTGTTGGCATTAAAAGTTTTAGCAAGAAGTTCTGGCAGGAGCACCTGGCGGCTAGCCATGGAAATAAAGTTGAGCATTTTTTTCTGCTAATTTTTCTTGTGTCTGTGTGTGCGCGCGCTTAACTGCACAAGATAGTTCTATACTTATACAGATGCAAATATACTGAATCTCCTTTTTAAAAGTTACAATGGAAGAATCTAGAAGAAATTCTAAGTTAAGAATAATAAAAGTAATAGTACTGACCACCACAGTAACCGAAGGAACACCTTAGCAGGTGGAGCATGCCCATGCCCATAGAAGAGTAGGCAACAGTTTCATACGAGCCAAGGCCAAGGTCTCCGATGAAGACCATCTGATCTATGGTTGCCTGCAAGCCATTTTGCAGTTTGACCCACGAGACTGAACCATGTCGACGCCAGGATTGCATTTTCCTGCCAAACATATAGTTGTGAATACACCGTCATCAATCTTTTCTTGGTGAGAAATCACTTATGGCCCGAAAAATAAATACACTGTAATACCTAGAATTTTACAAGGTTTGGTTCTGAAATAAGTCGGGGATGTTGACCAAGCTTTGACCTTTTAACCATCCATCTTATGGAAAACCCAAACCAGCGGCTCACTTCGCTTCGTCGAGCAGCCCTAATACGAGTATTAACTTGTACGAAAAAGAGTCCAGATGAATATTTAGTGAACGCAGGTCATGTATGTTTAGAAAAGAATAGAGATAAACAGAAATAAAACTCCCCCTCCTACCAGCCTCCTATTGCTACGCACCGCCACCGCCTAGGCTTATATAGTTCAAGATCATGCACATCAAAGCCTTTATCACTTGCTCCAGACCACAATGAAATGCTACTGCTGGAGACAGGCAATTCCACATGTCTGGGCTTGTGATGCCTAAGGGCTAACAGGAAGCACACAAAAAATACAAGGAAAATTGGAACAGTAAGCATTTAGAAACTGTAGGTAACTGATGTGGAGACGCCATGTTCAGAATAAGTTTCTTTAGCATAGTGGTCATATTATTTCCTGGCATTCCTACACCTTGTCACCAAGCAGCAGCGCAAAAATTAATACATCATGATTAAGCAAGTTCTACTAACTTCCACTTAACAACTCACACACCTTTCTACCATTTTCCATCAAGTCAAGGTTAAAAAGCAGAATGCTATGAAACTTTCAGCACCTTTCTACCATAATAACTACATATTTACATAGCTTCTTATTAAGACCTGCAATGTGAAATAAGAGTTCGGTTCGGAATAAAGATCCCACGACTTACTTTTGCTCCGTCGATCATCATATAATGCTAACTAAACCCTGCAGTTTATACTAGAAGAGTCGACCACAGCTTTCCACGCTGATGACTCCACCCATAGTGAATGAAATACTGCCTCTTAAGCATAGTGATTGTTTTATCTTTCTACAGACATGCTGTGGCAATCCAATCTGTAATTGTAAATCATAGAAATTAGCAGCACAGGCAAATGGGATACACACGATGTGGCCTGTAGGTAACGGAAGTAAAGATGC